AAGGGTTTGGCGTGTGTTTAAAATGAAACCCATGTGTACAGAACAGCTAAGGTAGCTACTACTACTGTCAACATGTACTTGAATTTCGCAGAGCCTCAGTGGGTCTGCTGGTACTGAAGGGTCTCTGAACAAATACCAGAGCACTGGGACAAAGTAATAGAATACAAGGAAAAGTGGTTAAAAAAATGAAAACTTTGGTTTGTAGTCAAGATTTTTTTTTTTTTTAATGCAGCAAGTAGAACAAAATAGACTTATTTGTGAGAGTATTCCCTGATCTATGAAGACATGCACTACTCTGGCATCTTTTTTACAAAAGGCAGAAAACATATTACATTTTTTTCTAATATTCTGCAAGTTGTTTGCAACATACGATACATATTTTGGAATGTAGACTAAAAGCTGTACAATGAAGAACATAGGGAAATCTTGGCTGTTTGCTGTCCCATGCAATTACCAGATGTTTGCCATGGTAACCCCTGAAAAGCTCTGACCAGAAAAGCATTCTTAGGAGACTCGACAGCAAGCCAGCTGGCCACTTAAAGCCTGCAGTATCCAAAATAAGTTTGATCACCACCTGTTGCTACTTAAAAAAAAAAAAGGAGAGAAAAAACAAGAAGCCTGAAATGAGAGCTCCTAGAGTAAGCTGAAATGATACACATAATATCTATCTATTTATTCTGGGATTTTTAATCAACTTTTTTCCATTGCTGTGATACTTGGAGATATCTGGAGTTATTAGATTGCATATCAAAGTTTCTGCTGGATTCTGTGGAAAGTCTAATGGGAATTAGTTTTATAAAATGTCTTTTTAGAGCAGGATTTTGAGGGGGTGGGGAAGTAGCTATATTGTAATAGAACATAGATCCTGATTGTAACGGAGAAGTTGAACAGGAAAACAATGAAGAAAATACAATCAGGAACGTTATTGCTGTGGCCATGCTGGCACAAGGAGAAGTGGCACTGTCCTATGACTCAGACATTGCTTTATATTGCTGTGGTACAGCAGAGAAAAGATGAGTGAGAGCCTTGGAATCCTGCCAGGTCTTATGCACCCATTTAAAGGTGGAGTAATGGAGTTATTGGTCGCAGATGCGAAGGAGTCAAATTCTTTTGAAAGGAAGTTGTTTGCGGTGATTTATTGGGAGACTCTTCTGTGGAGAAGCAACACCGCACTGAGGAAGTCAGCTTTTTCCGGCCCTGAGAATAAGGCCTTAAACACTGGGAACTGGTCCTGATGGCCAGTGCTCTACGTAAGGAAGAATGGTGATGCTGAAGGTATATTCAGCAGGGACTGAGGATGTGTGGATTTTATTTTTCTTATGAGGAAAATTCTTTCACGGGATGCCGTTGTATCTTACAAGTATAAGAATAAAAAGAAACTTTTTCTTCAAATGTTTCTACAAACGTTGTCCATACGTGACAATGAGAAAAGGCACTGAGAAGGAGTGTATTTTTGGGGGGACTCTGAAATTCACAAACAATGCACTGGGACTCTGGCAGAGACAACAAAAATGTGATTGAGGCTGAGTTGTGGGAAAGATCTACTCTACACAATAAATAATATTTGGTAGGAGTCTAACAGAGCACAAAATCTTGCAGTGCCACATCTGACCGTGAAGGGGAACAGCAGACAGATGAAACGTATCATGCTTCATTTTTATTTCTGTCTAAGATATTTGAAAGAAAGTCTTGCCTGAAGTTACAATAATGCCTTTTCTGCTTAATCACAGAATCACATAGTGATTGCAGTTGGAAGACACCTTTGGAGGTCAGCTTGTCTAACTCCCCTGCTCAAGCAGTGTCACCTACAGCTGGTGGTCCACGACCATGTCCAGATGGCTTTTGAATATCTCGAAGGAAGGAGATTCTACAACCTTTCTGGGCAGCCTGTGCCAGTGCTCTGTCACTCTCACAGTGAAAATATGTTTTCCGATGTTCAGATAGAGCATCCTGTATTTTAATTTTTGCCCATTGCCTCTTGTCCTGTCACTGGGTATCACTGAAAAGAATCTAGCTCTGTCTTCTTTAAAGCCTGCCTTCAGCTCCCCGATGGCTGATGTCATTGTGAGCCCACTCTCAATTATCTTTGAAAGATCATGGTGATCAGGAGAGGTGCCTGAGAACTGAAGGAAAGTAAATGTCACGTCTACCTTCAAAAAGGGCAAGAAGGAGATCCCAGGAAACTGTGGATTGGTCAGCCTCACCTTGATCCCAGGGAAGGTGATGGAACAACTAATTCTGGAAACCATTTCCAGTTACTGAGCACTGGCACAAAATGCCCAGTGAAGTTGTGGAGCTTTGCACCCTGGAGATATTCAAAACCTGTCTGGTCGTGGTCCTTGGCAACTGACTCTAGGTGAGCAGAGAAGTTGGACAACATGACCTCCAGAGGTGCCTTTCAACCTTAAACATTGGGTGAGTCTGTGAAAGCTGTGGTATGGGATGCATGCACTACCCTTTATGTTTTCTTTTCAGTTACCTTCTGAAGAATAAAGTTCTTTGATAGTATAAATCCAAAACACAAGTACAGGCTGGGCGAAGAGTGGCACAAGAGCAGCCCTGAAGAGAAGGACTTGAGGGTACTGGTGGATGAGAAGTTCAACAAGAGCCGGCAATGTGCGCTTGCAGCCTAGAAAGCCAACTGTACCCTGGACTCATCAAGAGAAGCGTGGCCAGCAGGGCGAGGGAGGGGATTCTGCCCCTTTACTCCGCTCTCGTCAGACCCCATCTGGAGTCTTGCATCCAGCTTTGGAGCCCCCAACATAGGAAGGACATGGATGTGTTGGAGTGGGTCCAGAGGAGGGCCACAAAGATGATCTGAGGGCTGGAGCATCTCTCCTATGAGGACAGGCAGAGGGAGTTGGGGCTGTTCAGCCTGGAGAAGAGAAAGCTCCGGGGTGACCTTAGAGCAGCTGCCAGTGCCTGAAGAGGCCGACAGGAAGGATGGAGAGGGATTTTTCACAACCCTGGTCTGGTGGAAAATGTCCCTACTCATGGCAGGGGGATTGGAACCAGATGATCTTTAAGGTCCCTTCCAACCAAACCATTCTATGATTCTATGATTCTATGAAATCAAATATGTATTCTGTGATTTGTCCTCCATTGCCTAACCTTTGGAGTCATATATGTTAGAATGCTGCATTTGAGAGGACACTGAGGTAGCCAATATTCTCCTTCACTGTCAACAGGAAGCTTGAATACAGGCAGGTTATTCAGCAGCCCAAATGCAGCCGTTCGATATTGAAAGTCTCTGAATATCTGTGCAAGAGCTATGTGTAAACTGAAGTTAAGAGTGTTTTTACATCTCATTCAAAGTCATTGACTGTCTTTAGAAATTACTTGTCTTTGAACTGCAGTGTTCTCTTAAACTGGATTATTTACAACAGTTTTAGCATAGAACTAGTGAGTTGAAAGGTCTGGTTACTGTGAACTCAAAATGCCCATTGAGATCTTATACAGAAATTCAGCCAAATATATACTATCTGCAAAAGTTCAGAGTTAGACTCTGTAAAATGATGTATTTTCATGCATTCAGAAGTGTCTTCTTTTATACTTTACGAAGTGATAGCCATTGGATCAGTCATAAAGTAATGTTTTTGTTGAAGTATGCCTGTTTCACCTCGGTGAACGAGATCAGCTTGGCATTCAGTGCGTTCTTACACATACATCCATGTCTAAAGCAGAACAGCACGGCATAAAAATTGAGATATTTCTGGACATGAGTTCAGTCAATCAAATTAACGTAGCATCTGTCATTTCACTGGCCAGAAGAAAGTGTATATCACAGTGTTGGCAGGAGATGTTACTCTCCAAATTTGTTCCTGGACCTAGCATACATAAAAAAAAGAATGTGTGACAGCTGTATTATGGCAAAGTATATGAACTTGTTTTGTAAGGAGAAGGGCAGGTTGACAGCATTCATAGTAAAGGCAAAAGAATACAGATTATTATCAGTGTGTTTTGAAATTATACATTAGGAGTATAAAAATAAAGCTCTGAAATGAAGTATACATATGTAAATGATAATTCTGAATGGGGTTGAAACTTGTATTAAAATGTCTTTAAACATTGAAGCAACTCTAAATACTACTTTTTTCCTTAGTTTTTTAGTGACTACAAGCTATCACATTTCCTTACAACCATGGATTTTATTGAAGTGGATATTAATCTTCATCTCATTAAAAAAATTGTTTTTTTAAAATGGGCCAAGCATGCTCAGCTATCAAAAAATTACTCCGCAACTCTACCTTTCAAGATAAACATAATAAGTAGGAAACTCATTCCTTGCCTTAGATTAAATGCGTTCCTTTCTTTTAGGCTGAATTAACACTGATAGGTAAGAAGCTCTACAGTTGTAGGGTAGATAGCTAGATTTATCGGTTTGGCATGTCATATGGATATTGCCTTTCTTGAGTTCACAAGATATAATAAATTAATGCGTGGAGTAGGAATGTAAATAGAGCAACGCAGATTAAATATCCAGATTTGGGTGTAAGAAAGTCAAGCAACAATTATTTATGTTATGATTCCACATACTGGATATTCATTTTATATACATTACTTGAGGGCAATTTCTAAAGCTTCACAGAGCAGACTGGAGACCACAACACCTTCCCCTTAATGCAGGGGAGTTTGGCTTTCCCTGCTGAGGTGGCTGACTAGGGGTAGCTTAATGGTAGGCATCACAGCTCCTTATTTCTAAATACTAATGATGTTTCTATCTTTGTAAACTAAACAAGGCCAAAGCGTGGTTTTGGGCATCGTCCTGGGGTAGTTTTGTTTGTTCTTTTTGTTTTTAGTCATTAATATCCTTTAAAGTCTTTCAATTTTGTCAAAACTTTGATGCAGAGATATCTATAGCTTCATGTGTGGATTTGCCTTAGTGAATTTGTAGACTGATACAGATGAGTATCAGTCTGAGTATTGGCAGGATTTCATGGAAATGGCAGTAAAAGAGCTAGTTTTTAGTTGGTGTGATTAAGACTGACATTTCTCTGAAGATGTGAACGTCGCTTGGAAGGGCACGCTAGTCGCTGCTATCAGTGTGGAATTGCAGTTTCTCCTTGTGAACGGTTTACAGCCAGCAGATCAGATGACAGATATGTAAGTAATGTTTTTTCTTATTTTCATCCTAAATGATAGGAGCTACTCACACTATATACAGAGTAGTCTTTTTATGCATGTTTCTAGGATTCAGCTTAATGTGCAAAACGAGGTCTGTTATACTACTTTATACTCCATTTATATGTAGAGGTTACATATGATTCCTGATCTGCATGTTCTTCATTTTGCCTGAAAAACCTTTGATCAACAAAATCTTAATGCTCAAAGCAATTGTTAAAAGCTTGTTTCTAAAGGTTTTCATAATGCTCGACTCTGAGATGCCACGTGCCATCGAAGACAAGAAGAATGGTATCCCCTATAGCCCAGCTTCACGTAGCGTGTACATATCTAACCACTGGAAACTACTTCAGCTCCCAAACGCAAGGTGACGCATCTTTCATTACTGGTTTCTTATGAACCAGTCAGCTGAACAGAAAATGAAAAGTCACTCAACTGCAATTAGAACTTTTCATAATTCCTGGTGTAACTTCGTGTGTGTTTCCTCCGCAGACAGGTTCTATTCTCATGCGGTGTCAGCTGTATTTATATTTCTACACTTAGCAAAGAGTCCTGAGCAAAAGGGTATCGCTACCTTTTTGAGTATGCACCTAATTTTATTTCTGTAGGTCCTGAGTTGCTGGCATGATGTTTTTCTTGGTGTTTGCTCAGAGACGGATGATTGCCAGCTTGCAGACAGGGCCCTTGAAACTGGGCTGGGGTTGGGTTCGTTGTAAACACAGCCTTTGAAAACAGCTGGGTAGGAAAGCTGTGTAACTTTTCTTCTAGGTCTTTCTAGGTGACTCATCAGGACTATGACACAGGGTTTCTGGTCAACTTCAAATTCAGAACAAAAGGAGCTTACTGTTGTGGCTAGTTTTGAAATACTGGCTCCAATCATGTGTGAAGGTCAGAGATTTTATTGGCAGATTGCTGGAGGTTTAGCAATAGCTAATGTGTTCTTGACATTTCCACGATAAAAGATATTTTTTTTAAGTTTCTGGTAATTTACATTTCAAAATATAGTTTGCAATACAAAAGAAATGCTTTTTGCTTTGTGAAACAAAATGCATCTAATATTGATCTCAGCTCATGACGTATGTGATATATTTAGTCGAGATCACTAATTAAGGTTGATTTTGAATAGCATAAATAGAGGCGCAGTCACAAGACCTTTTGTCTTCTCTTTTGCATTGCGGCTATTGTTTGGAATTACTGCTGATGCAAGAAAATAAAGGCATAGAGCATGATTTTGCCCCAAACTCTGAATTATTGGGGCGTGGTTTCTTGTTGTAGTAAGCCGAATAGCTGGACTGTGGCCTGCTCTGGTTGGCATGTGGTCCCTGATGGGCGCAGCGCCAGCCAATGCTGCCTAGCGTGGCTCCTGGGTTGGAATTTTGCATAATTTGCATCGTATGTCTGTGGAGAACTTTCATTGTCCTGGTTGTTGTCCCCTCAGGAAAATTCAGTCCAGTTTTGGACTCTTGCTACAACTGTACTGTTAGGACAAAATACAGTTTTGGGGCATTTTTAGGAGGCTTCTCTTTGAACTGCTGAGACTGGATATACTTTTGTGTTTCCTTTTGAAAAAGAAAATTGAACATGGTACTGGATAGTCCATTAATATTGTTAAACTAATATTATCCTGACAGATGGACTGATGTGCAACTGGAACAGTTTTGAGAGTATCAAGAAGTCACATATTTTTTGCAGATCGTATTCTACTGAGTGAATGTCCACTGGAATTAAAAAAGCTGTATAAAAATTCAGCAGTGCAGATACGAAGTGTTATCTTGAAATAATGCATTCTGCAAATAAGTTATGTAACTTTCCACTGACCAGTAACTGCATCTTCAATCATCTTGGAGTTTAATTTGTCAAGTGCAATGCTTGCACCCTGTGGTTAACAGATCTGATTGATTTTCATGCCAAAAGAGGCAGAATTGGAATGTAATTGAGAGTCATTAATCTTAAACTCTCTTTTATATTTCACAATATCTGACGTGTGTGACAGAAAGGAATATGTTGGCTGCATTAATTAATAGCAAAATCAAAACCATATTCCTACAGGGCATAGAATCAGAAACCAAAATATGTTGTTGTAAACTGAGAGATGAAAATTCTGTCTGCCTTTTTCTCTGCTTACAAAGTATAGAACCTGTTTTATACGAGAACAACTTGGTATAGCTTCTGTGCGGCTGAAGCAGCCACTTGTTTTTATTTGAACTGCTTTTGTGCGTGTTAGCATGAGATATGTACATACTGTAAATCACGGGTTGCAAGTGTTCCCCTACCTGATTAGATTACTCCAGCTTCTTGAAGAAAAACTTAGTCAAGACCTGTGTAGCACTGGATGGTCTAATCAAAGCAAGTACCCACAGTATGCTGGTTTTGAACTGGGATTATCCTTTCCGTAACTCATTGTGATTAGAAAACGCAGGAAGTTAGCATTTCTAATATCAGGTCTTCTTTTTGTCTTAAATAGCCTGAGGTTACAAGTGGCTTGGATTGACTCTATCTTAACTGAACACATGTAATATTTTAATTTCTAACCATTTTACAAGTGGACAGTTTGAGGTTTCTGAGTATGAGACAGTAGTATAAAGGAAGATGGACAAATGCTGTAATTAGTTTCAGGTTTCCATTCTCCTGGGCTCTGTATAAAAATATTTACCTAAACTTTTGTTGACCAAATCTGGAGAGTGTGAAATGCTACTTTTAAAAATAAAAATAGCTAATCTTCATCTTCTCTGCTCCATGTAATTCTAGTTAGCTGTTTTACTTCATGTCTAATTAGGTTCTTCATTCTTGTCATTGGAGACCTTAGGGCTCTGTGAATAAATTCCAAGTTTCCAGAAATGAAGTAAGGAATGCAGAAATAAAGATTTGGCTCTTTAATTGTTTTTGCATTGATTCTTGCTACTTCTCTTTGAACTGTAGACTTTAAGCCTCACTTTTTGACCCTGGTGCTGAAATGGAACTTGCTGACAGAAAAATCTGTGTCCATGTCAAATCTCCAGGCCTGGGCTCACAGTTCACACTGACTGACTCATGCTGCAAACCCAGAAGTTTTTCAGCATAGTGGGTTGCTACTTCAATAACAAAAAGACATGGGTAAAGGATGAAGTTCTCTTCCATTTATTTACACTTTTCATCAAAGTATAGAATCTTGCCTACAAGATTGTCTTTGAAACACATTCTAAATCCAGGTTTAAATTTATTCCAACTGTGAAGGCACCAAAGCTAGAGAGAGTAGGAAGATTGTTGCTTCTTCTCTGGAGGGCATCAACGCTGAAAGGGATAACAGGAGACAGGACAAGACAATTTGATGCTTGTGCATAACACCAGTGTACTAACCACTTGTTAATCCCTGATCATTATCATTTGTGCAAAACTGATTTTAAAGTCAATTCCCATTATGCAAGTGATGCTGGAAACATACTGGTCAGGGGGCACATCCAAAGAATTCTGCAAACCTGTGAGCGGTGGCTGGACGCAAACTTGGACCTGATGGTACTTGCAGACTCAGTTGTTTTCAGATACAAGATTCTGCATCAGCTGGCATGACACAAACTGTGAAATTTACTTATAGCTGACGCCTTAGTTTTCAATAGTTACAGAAGCTGATATTCCAAATAGAATGTCAGTCCTACTGAGAAATATACTTTAATGTTTTGCTGCCAGATATTTACTTAGTTGTAAAATTCGCTGTCCAAATTACATAATGTCTTTATGACTTTCCTTATGGGTTAGACTAACAACTTCTTTGAAAAGGACGAGAAAAATACATATTAAACAACAGAACTCTTAGTTTTATTTTTATCTATCCATGCCTGTCATGATGGGTAACTTTAAAAAGATTATTTCTTATTTTGTAACTCATAATTGCATTCAAAATGCAGTGTTCCTATCTGTTAAACTTGTCATCTATTTTACTTGGCCACATGTATTTTGGCTTTGAGAAGCCATAGTGAGAGGAGCTCTGTAATTTGAAGTAGTTTAAATTTTTAAAGTTTTTCCCCATATTTTCTGTAGTGTATGAATTGCCATACACTGGTGCAGAGTGAACACCTACATTTTACTTTGGATAAGCAGGGTGCACACCCCTCCTTGAAGCGTGTCTCCCTGTCCTCCCCATTTACTGTGCTTTGGTTTGTACTACAGAGTCATCTTGGATCACACAGATCGATTCCTTTCAGGGGAGGCTGAAGTGGAAAAGCAACTCCTGGAGCAAAGTGAATGCTCTCTGTGTGCTAACGGTGTTCAGCCCACAGAATCAGAGATGAGATAGCCCAGAGTAAAGCATCAGAATACGTTTGGAGGTTGGGTTGCCAGCACCGTTTTGTTCTATACATCTGCTCCTTTTGCACCGCACCACTTCCTAATGTAATCATTGCCATAGGAGTTTATGATCCATTTCTTGACTCCTGTAAATATAGTATTCACATTGGTCTTTCTATGGCTGAGTTCTGATTTATAAAATGGGGATTAGCAATGGTAACTTTCTTCTTTCCTTTCCTCTTTAAAAGAATAATTTAGATGAGGTCTATCTCAAATTGTTACCACTGTGGTCAGTTACTCTGATCTTATTTATATGAGACACTTCCACCCTTGTTTGTCTGTGGTGTGATGAGCTTAAAAACTGCACCTGGTTAGGTTCAGAATTGCATATAATGATTTAGATAGCAAGGAGAAAAAGACTTCAAGAACCCTAAAACGTGAATGATAAAATTATGTGGTTGTTTGTTCTCCCTTTGAGAGCACAATTTCACTAGAACATTTTAGGTGCTAATTAATGAATGGAAGATAAAAGACTACAGATGAGGGAAGAGGCAGGAGGCTGACAAAGGTATACTGGTATGGATGCATGTAAATGGAGAAGATGGGACTTGCCAGTAGTTCTGAATGTTTAGTTCATTATCTCTTGTAGGTATCACTGATGTTCAAATTAGATATCTTTGATACAGTAGAGTATGCTGTAGTGTTGGCTTTAACGCTGGGTT